TCTAAGGACGCGGCTGCTCTCTGTCCGTTTGCGCGATCAACCGCAGCCAGTGAGTCAATTACAGACGACTGGGCAGCTCTTCCTAATCTTAGCGCATCCCCGGAGGTGGGATCCCCAGAGCCCTGTGTCCGAGTTACTTCCTTCGTGGTTCTTTCGAGGTGGCCACGGCATCCACTTCATACCCAGTCAGTTCAGGTGTCCCTACCTGTATTTCACTGGAGCGTTTAAATGGTTCAGACATGAAGGCAGCATAACCAGACGCATTCAGAAAAGCCTCATTCCCACCCTGCCCTCCCACCCCACGCCTGCCCTCCTCTGTGGCCATCACCGCTCTGCTCGCTCCTTTAGGATCCCGGACACACTGCTGTGGGGACCGCGGGCTTAGCGTCTACACTGCAGACCCCGCTAGCTCATGTCCCAGGGGCCACGCGTGACCGAGACCCGCGTGTCAGGGATGAAGTGGAAAATACAAGTGAGGCCAGAGCAGCGCGCATGGCAGGAGGGCAGGGCGAGCGAAGGAGGAGGCAGCGGCGGGTCCCCGGAGACAAGCGGGACTGCAGTCAGTTCGGAGGAGAAACCGAGAAAACCGAGAAAACGGAGATCTCCTGCGAATGCCTTCGCGGGGCGGCCCCTGACATGGGCGCCGACCGACTGTCTGTGAAAAGCTCTCCATCTGCTAGAAGGTGCAGCGAGGAGGAGGGCGGGAGGCGGCCTGGAGGCCCCGGAAGGGGCGGCGGGGAGAGACTTTTTGCTTTGCTCGCAGGATGGATGGAAAGAGAAAAAAACGCACCCGAATACTGTGCTCATTCACGGGGCGCCCCGGGACGCGAACCCGAGATGCTGAGCCCAAAACATTCTCGCTGGCGCAGGATCCCCCTCCTCGGGCGGCAGGGACTTCGGGGGCCGCCCCCCCTCCTGGTGCAGGTGGGGAAACAGAGGCAGCGTCCACCAGCCCAGACCGCCCGCCCGGACCCTCCGGTCCCCCGGCCTCTCTCCGCGCCGCCCCCAAAGCATCGCTTCCCGCCCAGAAATGCTGCGCCCGCTTCAGACACAAACTCCTCGCTCGCGCACAGGAGGGAGCCGGGAACGCGCCCAACTCCCTCTCCCCACGAGCCGTCCCCTCCGGGGGCAGGGGCAGGGCCTGTGTGTGTGTGTGTGTGTGTGTGTGTGTGTGTGTGTGTCTGTGTGTCTGTCTGTGCGTCTGTGTGTCTGTGTGTCTGTGTGGTCGGACCCACCCACTCATCGCACACACATGTGGACTGGATGCTGCTCTGGGCGCGGGCAGGTGGGAGGAGCAGACACGGATGCGCACGGCAGCCAGAGAGACGGCGTGTTTGGGTTTAGAGGTTGTTCGGGGTTAGAGCGGGCAGAGGGCGGGGGTGGGGGGGGGGAAGGGGGGGGTTCCCTGGGTGGGAGTGAGGCAGGAAGGACTTCAGGAAAGACGGGCTGGGCTTAGAAGGATGAACAGGAGTTTGCCAGGTGGGTCAGCGG